ACAGTGAGTGCAGCCACATGGTGGTACCTGTTTGATGAGGAGGGCCCACAAGTGTCTTTCTATCAGCTGGTGAGTTGTAAAACAGTTTCTCCTGCTCTAGGAGAACATGAGCTGTATGTTTCCTGTTATACTGTTTACCCCGCCTCTGTGCATCCTTTTCATTCGCTGCTATTTGATGCAGTAACGTTTGATGATCCCAGCAGCAGACAGGCATAGAAAGGGAATTAAGATTTCTGTGGATTGATTGCATGCAGATCTGAAATGAAGCCAGGGTTTGCAGCTGCCCCCCACCCCCACCCAATCTGAGCAGAGTCCCATCAAACCAGGTCGCAGCACACACACATGCACGAGCGCACGCTAACTCCACCTCTCTCTCTCTTCACAGCGACATTTCATGCAGTGCACTGAGGACAACCCCATGTTCAAAGAAATAGACTGCGAGGTGTTTGAATCTCGCTACCCCACCACCATGGCGCTGTCTGTGCTGGTCACCATCGAAATGTTCAACGCGCTCAACAGGTGAGTCGGCTCCAGAGCTGGTGTCAGAGTAAACAAGCCTCAAATGTCGCAAACGTCAGAGATTTACTCAAAGAAAGCGACACTGTCATTCAACGAGACGGAGCTCCTTTTAAGGAAGAACGATCCGAGCCAGAGAGGCCACGGCCGTCGCAAACATCAGCTGTTCACTGTTTGAAGGACTGATTTTTGTTTTTATGTTCTCCACCTGAAGAATGTGCTTAAGTGCACATCTTAAGAAGAGAAATGACGCTTTGTTGAACGGAGCTATGAAGCGTCATTAGCTCTGTTTTGAAAGAAATGTCCACCTTGACGAGGTCTGATCACCACTTCAGATGGAGTCCAAAGATAATCCAGCCTAACGCCGGCACATCTGTTCATTTTCATGCAGCTTGCTGGAATATTTTCACCAGTTATTGTTTTGCAACATGATCCTGAAATGTTAGCATGTTTTCATCTATTTAAACTTCTCCTTACAGTTTGTCTGAGAACCAGTCCCTGCTCAGGATGCCTCCCTGGGTCAATATTTGGTTGCTGGGAGCAATCATCCTCTCCCTCTCCCTCCACTTCTTAATCCTCTACGTCGAGCCTCTGCCAGTGAGTACACAGGACACGCAGCTCTGACACTGCATGCTAATAATCCTCAGCGCTGTACCGTGGCCCAGATTCACGAGCCGTGTTTTATGAGTCCGATTCTTTTGCCAGTGATGACACAACTTGTCTGTCGTCTGCAAAAAACTAGGATGGCCCTGTAGGAGTAATGCAACAGCCAAATGAAACTATAAGTAGCTAAGTTCATAGCTAGCGTTGTGCAAACAGCAAATGCAGAAATGCTGTGAGTCAGACAGAAGGCGTTTCCATGGATTATGTTTTCTTGCAGGCTGATGTCTTTGCATTTTTCAAAATAGTTAAATATGAAGCTTGCATGTTAGAAAAGGCTTCTGCTGCAGCTTTGTCAACATCATCGTCTGATTTCTCCTTCAGCTCATCTTCCAGGTGACCCCTCTGCGTTGGTCCCAGTGGACTATGGTCCTGAAGATTTCCTTCCCAGTCATCCTACTGGACGAGGCTTTGAAATATTTATCCAGGAACCATCTGGAAGGTAAGTTAAGTCTGACCTGCTTTTAATTTAATAAGCAATTTCTTTCAAATCAATAAACGAATCTAACGACGCTTGTTCTGCTCTGTTTCCTTCTCCTCTGCATTTCTAAATCAGCCTAAACTCTTTTAATCTCACCTTCTGCACAAAGGTACCTGACTTTCTTTGTGCTGCTTTCTTCCGTCTGCATTCGAACCTGCCTGCTGTCCGATGGTTACCTGTTCTAAGCCTGTGGGTTTCTGTTTTGGCAGGTGATGAGGAGAAGAAGTATCGGAGGAGATGGCAGCTGAACTAAGACCTCTCCCTCAACACACTCACACAGTTAGACACACAGCTACCCTCTTCCCATTTTTGAGCTAGGAAACGTTTCTCTCCCTGCCCTCGTTCCCCACTCCTGCATGTCCAACAAACCACCGCTGAGGGGTGGCTCGCATGAGAATGAGTGTGTGAGAAAGCGAGAGCGCTTGTGCTCCTGCAAGCATGGCTTTGTGCGAGCGTGTGTGTGTGTGTGTGTGTGTGTGTGTGTGTGTGTGTGAGGACGCAGACGGATGCAGACCTGTCTTTATAGTTGCAAGAGCAAGAAACAACTGCAGAAAAGAAAAATACAACCGGGCTCTGCTTTTTAAAGGTTTCTGCTCATTTTGTTGTCTGTACAGTACAAACATAGTGGTGGACTTCTGGGGGGATAGGGGAGGATGGGGGGACAGACATTGATAATACTGGGTGGGGTGAGGGTGGGGGTGGGAGTTGGGGTTTTAAAATCAACACAGAGACCGAAAGAGAGACTGAGAGGAGAAGAATCAGACGGACACACTGACAAAAAAGTATCAAGGAAAGGATGAGGAAGGCGAGAACAGCCTGGAGGCGCCGTGAGGAGAGCGCCACGGTACCCACGCGTGTCCACAGAAGCATCATCATCAGGAGGTGCTGCCCAGGCTTCTGCCATCACAGTACTGGCAGTGAATCCCAGCTCTGGCCTTATCAGCACAACACACTGTATCTCTGGCCAGTTTGTCACAGCGCTGCTCCTTCATCACTCTTCTGTCTTTTATGCTCAGTTCCTCCTTCGGCCTGTCTCTGCTCTCTGTCTCTTTCTCGCTCTCTGTGAGGAGGCAGCTGTGGGCCCGGGGTCATGTCGGGCTCTTTGGTGGGGTTGGGGTGCGGCGGTGTTGCTCCGCCTAAAGGTGTGAATAGCTTTACGCTGCTTGGCTGCTTCCTTTGGCTCTAAACTGGAGGGGCTGAGGTCGGCTCACACACTGGGCAAAGAAATTTTAAAAAGTCCAACAGCAACCAAACCAGCACGTCAGTAGAGTCGCCGTGATCAGCCCGCTCAGCTGGCCCTCTTTAGCTCCACTATAATGTCCTTCTGCTTCTTTGCTGCCACTGCAAAACCTCTGCGACTCATTTCATGTAAAGGTTAAAGGTGGACGGGAAACTCCTGCGTCACGATTCCTGCGTCACGCCTTTAACCCGCCGTGTCACACCCTGAACCAGCGCTGAGGTGTGCGTTATAGCCTTACTTGAATAAAGTTGTCTAGTTTGATGTGATAGGCTTTGTTTCCCGTCTGAATCGCACAAACGATGTAGTTTAAAGTAAGTTAGAGGAGTAAGTGTCTCGGCGCCACGTGTAGATATTAAGCACATTGAACATCCATGCCTTACACAGCCCACTGCACCGCCACATTGAATGTTTCTGCTGACCTTTAACGAGCTCGTTACCCATCACTACCACTCTGCAC